AGAGATAAGAAAGACCAAGCATTTACAATTGATTGACAGGTTTTTCTGATATCTATCTCACTGCAAGAAGCTTGTGTTCTATTGCAGATGATAAGGGACACTGCTCTGCATATAATAAATAACGTTGTAGTATATATACAAAAATAATAAAGCACTGTTATGTGCGAGGTGGGATCAAGAGAGGTGAAGAAATTTGAGTTCAGCCAGACAGAATGACTACAACTGGAGCAGAAATATGCAGGAGAGGAAGAAAATTGCATACTTTGTGATGCATCATTTCTTAAACTGGATGGCTAAAATGCATTGTATAGTAATTCTTTTGGTCTTCATGCTCAAGTGAAAAGTCTTATAAATTATTTTTATAATCTGAAAAGGAGAAAATTTTATGAAGAAATTCTTGGGGAAGGAAAGGTTTCTTCAGGTTAGGATGAAAGAAAACAGAAATCTGAGTTAATAGTTCTAAAATATGGGAGTTTATTAGGAATTTGGGGGAAAGTGCTGTTACATCTACTAACTTGTTGGTCACATAACAACCACTTATATTAAAACGAATTATGAGCATGAGCACTAGTTATTTGGATGATCATCACTACATATAAAAGCAAATATGACTCATTAATTTTTTAATGATTAAAAATAGGGGAAGGAGAAAACATAAATGCTCATATGATATAACATTAGTTGAAAGAAATGGGGCCAGCAGGTAGCATAGTGGCTAAGGTGCTGGACTCCCACTGAGCTGACTGCATTTTGAGTCCCAGACCTGGTGACTTGAAACTCATGCGAGGCACGTGTGCATGCATGTCCAGAATCCTGAGAGGAGAATGGAAGAGAGGGGATTGCGGTGTGGCCACTCCCCTGGGGGATGATTTCTCACTTTCTCTGTCTCTGTCTCTCTTTCTCTTGTGAGCACACATGCTTTATAGTAAAAATCTAAAAAATAAATAAGTAAAAGAGAGAAAGAGGCTCAATACCATCACAAGCAAGGGAGGGTCTGATGTATCTTAGCCCTTTCAAGAAAATGTCATCTATTATGCACCTTGTTAGTCAGTTCTGAGGAAACTTGGATGCATATTGTTGTCCATGTGTTGATACCATTGCTTAGTCTTCAATTATTATTCAACTTGCCAGGGGCTGATGAACTTGGATATTTGAATACACTTCATAATTAAAGTAAAACTCACTCACCAAGCCAGTTTTCCCACTTTTAAATTTGTTGGAAACCCAACCCTTTCCAAAAAAAAGATTAGTGGTGGCATACTGTCTCTACAAAGAATCTGTGATGTTGGGATCAAACCTGCTACTTGTGTTTTGCTTTTTTTTGAATAATTTATTTTATTTTATTGGGGTCAGCAGGTGGTACGGTGGTTAAGGGCACTGGACTCCCACATGGCCAACCGTGGTTCGAGTCCTGGACCTGGTGGCTTGCTTTCTCACTCCTCCCCCCCCACTCTGTCCCTCTATGATCAAATTAAAATAAATAAATAAAGCTAAATAAAGTTAAAAAAAATTCTTTTAAAAATATTAATATTTTTTCTTTTATACATTCAATCACTATATATCACTTAGCTTACAAAGTATTCAACATGAATACGTTAATCATGAATACTGAAGCGCAAGAAATCATTTTTGCATGTTAAGTTACTTTGACTCTAAATTTTATAATTCAAGCTGTGAGAGCATTGGAAATAATATTAATTTGCTCCTTAGCATTAGCCCAGTGGTGGCCATAATACAAGAAGAACTTCAAAAAAGTTCAGAAAAAATGGAATTAAAGTACAAATTTATTTTAGTGCCAAAAAATTGGAATCCATGAGTAATTTTTAAAAATAGACATTTTTCATTAATTTTTTGAAAACTGCTTCTAAAAATGAGGTATATTAGTCATGCTTATGAAATAAAGTCTTATATTCTCTGTTTATACCTTAAAAAGATTAATTTAGGAGTTCCAGCAGCTCAGGCGGTGGGAGGAGTGGTAGGATTTATCTGCTCAACTCCACAAATGTTCTAGGCAGCCCAGCCTCTCAGGCACCCAGCATGCACCCTGTCCTCAGCCAAGATGCCCAGGCGGAAGGTCAGCTCAGCCAAGGGGGCGGCCAACGAAGAGCCCAAGAAGAGATCAGTGAGGTGGTCAGCTAAACCTGCTCTTGCAAAAGTGGAGACAAAGCCATAAAAGGCGGCAGGGAAGGATAAATCTTCGGACAAAAGAGTGCAAACAAAAGGGAAAAGGGGAGCAAAGGGGAAATTGGCTGCAGTGGCCAACTGAGACACTAAAGAAGATTTGCCTGCAGAAAATGAAGAAACTAAAAACGAGGAGCGTTCACCCTCTGTTGAAGCAGCGAGAAAGAAGTCAAGTCTGAGTAATGTCATATACTGTGTCATATCAATGGTTCCTGTCTCTCTTGTACAATCCAGAGGAATATTTTTATCAACTATTCTGTAAATGCAAGTTTTTTAGTAACTCTAGAAACATTTTTAAGGAGAGAATTCCACTTCATTCCATTTTTCAAGTGTAAATGTTTTTTTTTAAGAGGTGAAATCATTTACTGGCTGGTTGTTTTTCAGTACAACCAGAAAATAGTGGGATATTGACTTAATAGGAGGCTTTGACTCTCTTGTGTGTCAGCTTAACATTCCATAGGTGGGGGGGGGTGTAGTTTTTATATCCTAAATACAAACGCATACTAAATGTCAGTTTGGAGTCACAGTTATGCATTTAATGTGTCTTGAGTATTTTTAATTACTTCTATTATATTTTTTAGTAGTATTGTTTCCTAAAGAAAACCACTTTTTGTTGCTCTCCCTGTCATAATTGTGTGCACTCTGTAACGTCTTTGGTTGTGGTAGTCCAGTTTTCCTAATAATTTTGTTAATGTGCCATGAAAGATTGGAAATTTGAAGTATATAGTGTGTATGGTACTACATTGTGATTTGGTGGGACTTACATAACAGCTTTCAACATTTGAAGTCACTGGTTCTTATATGCTCTTAAGAAAAATTTGCCTATAAATTTGAAGCTGGAATGTCACTGGAATAACTTAAAAAGAATCGATATACTTGGCTTTTTTAATTTATGGTATGTATGTTAAGAATCAGGTACAAATTGAAATGTCTATACTGATCCTTGACACAACCAATAAATCTCAATTAAAGGAAATTAATTTAAAATTTTATGTTTCCTTATAAAACAATAAACTACCTAAATTGTCATTATGTATTTTTTCTGCTTTGGTAAATAGTTGACACTACTGGTCAAATTTTCCTTCAAAGAGGAAAAAGGTCTCTCCATAACAATATTCTAATGTCCCAATGAGAAGAAAAAAAATTGTATTATAAACCTAAACTTATATTAGATTTTTAAATGTCCCTAAGTTTATCATTATTTAGAGAAATCATCAAATTAACAATAGCTTACTGAAAAAATTTTCTTTTACTTTAATGAGAGAATTTTGGTATGACAAAGGTCTAGCTAGAGAAACAAATAACAACAACAAAAGAATCAGAAGGAATCTGGAGACCATCTTGGGATTAGTATGAGGGGGGCAAAGGATCTTTACCTAAAGCCAAGGGGAAAAAATTCTCTTACATTTGAGGCCAAAGTATCTTCCTTGAGAATCATTTACTCTAGAAGTATGTATTGAGCAACATGACTTTCTTTAGTCTGTCCCTAAAGAGGTGAGGAAATATATTACTCCACACGTGTCTTAATTGTCCTTCAGGCTGTCTATTTTAAACTGTACTTCTATTATTCTATACATTTTTACATTTTTTAAAAAACTTAAGGGCAAATTTGATTAGTTGCCTACTTACCAAGAAAATGCAATTTTAAATTATCCCAGGAAAAACAAAAAACTAAACATTATACACTAAAATCTAGACATCAAACTGCTAAAACCAATTAAATCAATGGAAGCAATTGAGTTAGTATTATGAGGTGATTTTGAATTATGACTGTAACATGCTATTGGATTATCAGGAAAGTCATAAAGCATATTTGCAGAGAAAAATGTAGAAAAATACACCATAACTTTCCCAATAAGCTGATAGGTTGAAATTTGATCACATTCCATTGTCAGGAAAAATTACACCTATTTTACATTAATAAGTAGTAGAAATAATTTTAAAATACACATGTATTAATATATGACATGAAGACATGAAATTTGTAATTTTCCAACTAATAGTTGAAAGGTTAATAAACTAACTTTTCACTTTTTGAAAATTAAAACAAAATTACTAAAATTAGCCAGCAGGTGGCATAGTGGTTAAAGCAGTGAACTCCCACATAGCCTACTGCAGTTCAAGTTTCGGACCCGTCAGCTTGAAACACATGCCAAGCTTTTGTGTGTGCATATCTAAAAATCCCAAGAGAAGGGACTACAGAATAGCCACCCTCCTGGGAGGGAGGTAAGTTCTCACTTTCTTTCTTTTTCTCTCTCTGTCTCTCTAGCAAGAGAATATGCCTTATAGCAAAAAAAAAAAAAAAAAAAAAAAAAAAAAAAAAAAAAAACACACTCTCCAAAAAACTAGTAAAATTTTCTGTAAATACTCATGTAAAAAAGCTATCAAAATGCAAAAAGAAACACTTATATCAAATATTCACTACATATTTTCCATGCTCTTTCTCCATTCTTGAACTACCACAGGCATAACTCCAGGAACAATGTTCAATATCATTTACTTTATACCTGGAATCATTAGAAATTACTTGAGTTATTTGATGAAATCCTGTTAACCCTGTTTGATGCATCAGAGCAGGTATGAAATGAATTAAGTAATAAGTAATTTTATTTCCCCTTAGGGGATCCACCTTAGAGAAAGAGTAAGGTGGTAATTAATACAAGAAGCAAGAAAACCAATCTTCCCTATAGGAGCTAAAATGACTTTCCTCTCAGCCCTCCAAAGGAAAAAAAAAATGTAAAATTATGTCATATATGTTCTTTTACTTTCTAGCTACAGTCCTTACTTACCCTTCCTTTTGACTTCAAGGATGTCTCTATTGTAAAATTCTGAAGTATATGAAATTTGTCCTTTTTTTCTAACCAACCAAACATGGTCATCTTCTCTCCCATTGTTGGCACCTACTTAGGTATCCATAACTCTCTATTTATTAGGTCTTGACATTTTCAGGCTTTCCTCTCTTGCTCAAAAACTTTTCAGTCCTTCTCCTTCAGCTTCTACAAATATGTTTGTGTCTGGAGTTTACTTTCTTAGGGCCCCAACTCTGAGACCTAGAAAAACTGATAAACAAGTGAACTGCTAATGTATTTACCAAGGGGTAAATCTGTTTTCCAAAGGGGCACTTGGAAATTAATAAAAGGGAACTTGATCAAGCAAGAGTCTTTCAACATCTTCAAATTTAGTTGCTGAACAGCTTTCATTTTACATATGTAAAATAACAAGACAGAATTTAGAAATAAGTATCAAGAAGTTACATTCAGTATTCAATACACGTATCTAAGAATATCTTAATAAAGCTGGCATAGATAGTTTTTAGTGAATAATAATATTTAAATAACTTATAAGCTTTTTAAAAATGGCCTACATAAAGAATAATTAGAAACCAATACAACTATCATATTATCCAGCAATTCTACTCCTGGGTATCTACCCAAAGGACAAGAGAATGTTCAGTCAAAAAAGTGCTTCCACATCTGTTTATTGTGGCATAATCACGATTGCTAAACCATGGAACCAACCCAAAGGTCCACAAACAGATGAATGAATTGAAAAAGTGTGTCTCACATACTCCATGGAATACTATTCAGCCATAAAAAAAAAAAAAACAATAAGACCCTGGGATTTGACAGAACAAAGGACAAGAGAATGTTCAGTCAAAAAAGTGCTTCCACATCTGTTTATTGTGGCATAATCACGATTGCTAAACCATGGAACCAACCCAAAGGTCCACAAACAGATGAATGAATTGAAAAAGTGTGTCTCACATACTCCATGGAATACTATTCAGCCATAAAAAAAAAAAAAACAATAAGACCCTGGGATTTGACAGAACGTAGACAAATATGGAAGATTTATTGCTGAGTGAAGCAAGTCAGGCTATGAAAGAGAGACATTGTATGTCTCCACTTAACATATACCAACTGTTTGCACTCTATGTTAGAGACTGAAAGATTGGAGGACATAAAAGCATTGAAAATAGTTATGGACACTGGAGACAGTATGGAAGGA